TTTCCCTCTCTTTTCTCAAGACATTTCTCACAAAGATCTTTAATGGTTCAAGCTTACACAAGTATTGGCTAGGTCAAGCCATCTCCTCAACGTTGATGCCTCAAATTAGGGTTTCGTTTTTCACAAGGAAAATTGGACTTCTAGTGCTTCAATTGAATTTCATGGATCATTATGGACCTTCAAGAATGCTCATATCAAGTTTAAAGTCTTGAATCACAATTTTGCTCAGTCAATTGATCAGATGACTCAAAATCAGCTATATTGGATAAAAAGTCAATTATGGTCAACCTACAGTCAAACTTCAAGATTTTTTTATCAATATCAACATTTTGAAGTTATATGTATCAATTGATCAAGTTTGGATCACAATTCCCTAAGAAAAATGTTCAAACCATCAAAAGGGCAAAATGGTCAATATTAGGGTTTTGACTATATTTGACTGATAAATGGCTTTTGACCTAATACATGATCTAATGGCTTAAAGCACAATCTCAATGACTAAAATACAACATTTTGATCTAATTTTATGGCTCAAAACATTTCTCAAGATCAATTGATTGATAGTTGAAATCCAGTCAATTGATGAAAAGTCAACTAATACACCAAAAGTCAAACTTTGACCTTTTAATCAAAATTGAGTTTCAAAGATCACATTTCATCAAGACACTCAAAAATATGAAACTTGATCATCAAGAAATCAAGAAAGTCAAAATTCATCTTAAAAAGTAAAACTTTACAAGACTTAGATTTTTTCTAAGTGTTTTTTAGTCTTATTTTTTTCATGACTTCATGCCAACTTTTCACCAAGATGAAAGATGATTCAAAGAAAACTTCCAACATGAAAGTTGTATATCTTGATGAGATATACAACTTTTATTTACTGATGAAGTCCTATAAATGTTTTGATTTTGAATTATGAATCCTTAAATCCATGTACTTTTTCTTAAAACACTTAGTAAAATTTTGACCTAGTTTAGGCAGATTTTTGACCTAACTTCTTGGCCAATTTTAACCAAGCTCCAATATGATTTTGTCAAAATGGCCAAGATTAAAGTTCTGGATGATGTTCCAAGCTTTTCAAAATGTCAAAGAACTCAATGATATCATTCCCGAGCTAAGAGAATCGAAAAGATGAAGTTATGGTTTCAAACTTGAATTACAAGTCAATTTTGTGATGAACACATGACCAAATCCATAAGCCATGCTGCATAATCTTGCTTTGCAGGATTATAACTGGAAAATCACTCCTTATTTTAATGTTTACACAACTGATTAATCAATTGTCCAATTGATTCAAGCATTGCCAAAAGCAATTTGCCATTTTATGGAGAAAGTCACCACTTCCATACTAGTAAAGCAAGCTTTATGCAATATCAACCCTTCTTGAGCCTCTCAATGGCTCCTTCTGCATACACTCAAACTAGCAATTCAGAAGAGGCATGTTTAAAGTGTTCAGCCACTCTAAATTGCTTGTACAACACATTGAAACTTGTTTTTCCCATTTTTCTTTAAAATCAAGTAACATAGCCATAACTTTATATCTCACAGATCGGTCAACTTCAAGCCCTGAGACCTTTTGCTTATAACTATACAAGTTAATTGCAAGCAAACATAGGAATTGACAAGCACTCAAACTCTCTAAAAACTCAGATTGCACAAAAACTCCATTGTTGTGCAGGATCTGACCAAAAACTCCAATCTCTCAAACCACTCATGTGTTTCCTCTCCAAATCATTTCAAAAGCTTCCTTACCTCAAATACAACTCATCCCAATCCCCATTTCCAAACTGTAACACCATTTTCACCATTTTCCAAACTAAAAAACAGGGTGTTGCACATTGACTTCTCCAACATGATTTAGCCATCCTCAATCCAAACTAATCATTGCATTAACTTCATAGAGGTTCAAGGAAGATAACCATATAATTACAACACCTTGAAAGCTACTCAAACTGAAAACACGAATTCCATTTTCAAGGTGAATTTTCTGACATTTGAACTCTTCATATATGCATTGTTAGCTTTCCATTTGTGAAGATAAAATATAGACAACATAGCCCTGAAACTAGTCATGTCCTTATAATTCATTTATATTGTTTGAGTAGTGAGAATTTTGAAGATGCACTTTCTGAAAAATTAGGTCAGAATTTGGTACCATTAGAAACTCGTGTTCATCTTTGAGTGTTAGCTTAAGTTATTTACATTTCTGAAATCGTGATGAAATTTCTAACAAGTTTGATGTTCATACTTTTGAGAATGGATGAGAAATGAATGAGTTGCAGAAGCTCTGACTGGTGCGAGGAAGAAGATGAAGTCGATAACATGATCTTAGTTTATTTTAAGTTTATTACATGTTGTATTACTAACGGATGAAACAGGCCACCTCAGTGGCAGCAAGCACGCGCATAAGGCATTGGTATGGAAGGTCCTGGGTTCGAGCCCTAGCGAGACCTTTTGGTTTTTTTTCACATTTTATGTGTTCTTTTTTTTGTTTGGAACAAGCGCACTGGGCCTCCCTCCATTGGGCCTACCTCATTTACTCAACAATACCCCCCTCTGTAATTTATCATACACAGTCCAACTCAAATCTTTTTTTATTATTTTTGTTTCTTTTCTAATTCAACAAAAAAAACATTGGGCCTAAAACTAAAACCAAATCGGTTTCACTTGTTTACCACCTTTTTCACTTTTACACCCTTCTGACTTTAACTTTTTATTTTTATTTTATTTTCTCTTTTTATTATTATTATTATTATTATTATTATTATTATTATTATTATTATTATTATATTAATCAAAAATACCAAAAGTATTTAATATTTATTATCTAGATATTTAATATATTCTTATTTTATTTTTATTAATCAAAAGACCAAACTTAGTTTCTTTTTCCTAACTCATAATCTCGGGTCCGCCTGAAAATACTACAGTCGTACACCTATGTGACAATGATAACACCACATTTGAACCTCATCTGAGCATGGACGACATGACCGTACTAGAAAGATCTACATCCACTAGTCGTCATGTTCCACTCTATTCCTATGTGCTCCTAAGAGTTTACAACTCTGGTCTGGGTAATAGGCATTTTACCTCAATAGTATCACCCACCTAACAAGAGAACACATAATCCAGCATAACACCAGTATATAGAAAGCAATAAAGATTCAATGCAAACATATGCTCAGATAAACATGTACAAATGAATAAACTGTAAAGCATAAAAATAAAAACCCAAAGAAAAGAAAACAAGAGCTAGGAGAGACTCTGGGATGGACCAACATTTGGTCAACTTGTCCACAGTGAAGTTGCTAGCTGAAACAACCGGCGGAACAAATCATCCAGATAAAATCAATGAAGTCGCAATCGAACTTTTTTATCCCACAGGAAGGGAAAGGTAAACATCGAGTAAACCTGAGAAGGGTGAAATCAAGGTCAAACGACCGAGATATACAGGTAAGGGAGTCGATTACGCAAGGGGAAGGTATTAGCACCCCACACACCCGTGGTACTCCACGGGATCCACTCTTGTTGTTCTAATCATGGGGTATGTTCTAATCTAAACCTTAAGAGCTAAGGAAGAAATGCAAAGAGGGAATGCATGCAAAAGAAAACACGTGGAAAAGAAGGAATATTTACAAATTTTTGCTTTCCTAGGCCCCGCGACCAAATGCCTACGTATCCCTTTTAAGGAATCAGAGCGCCTTAGTTTGGCTCAATAGTTTCCGTTTGTTTTTTATTTTTTAAGAACAATATTGATTTTGCTTTCTGCCTCAGCTCGACCTTTGGAGACTCACGTGTTGGCACATAAATGAATTAACATGTTATACCTAAAAAGGTATTTTTTTTAAATGCCCGAAGGAGGATAATACTACATTCATGCTCTAGCAATTTAGACATATTGCCACCCGACCTCTGGGGATTTACACGTCGTATTGCATAGAGTAGAATTAACACACCCTTTTGAGAGTTTCAAAGAAAGGCCCGGAGGAGGAAAAAGTTTGAATTGGTTGATATTTTTTACCTTGAAAAAGGATTTGCCACTTGAACCGTAATAAAGTCCAGAGTGAAAATAGAGCGAGATTCAGTCTAAATCGATTCGCTCTACCCACAAGACTCAACTGCATATGATTCACATCTTCCCTTATTAAATGTTTTATGCATTTTCAAAGAAAAATATTTTTTTTTGGTTTAAGGATGCAAAAGAAAAAGAAAACATCTAAGAGAGACTATCTATATCTATCCATAATGTTATCATACAATGATTGATCCTAAATTTTGAGTTTTAATGGGGAAATCTCTATATATGTTAGCATGCGTGGATTACGATCCTAATGTCTAACTTGCATCGGAAACGAAACAAGTGAATCCTAAGGGAGCATACAAAGGTTACAACCTAAAGAAAAAAACATAAGCACAAGATGGGAACAAGAAAAGACGAGCCGAAGACAAAACAAACATTGGGTGCGAGCTAACAGCAAACAATAGAGTCCAATGGATCTCAAAGTGGGAGTAAGGAACTCTTTCCACTTAATTTTCTCGAGCACTGACATCGAGTAACAACTCAAAGCCTCAACATCGAGCGACGCAAGCTAACATCGTCGAAACAAATGACAAAGTGCGAGGGGTTGGTTACGGACCCCTGTATTCCACTTTATTTGACTCAAAGGACTAGAATAGGCACGGTTCAAAGCGTTAACGCATGGCGCGAGCTAGGAATGACACATACAAGAATGTGTGGGGGATGATTGTAGGCCCTCTGTTCTACTTATTGACTCGATATCAAGCACAATGTAAAAGGGGAAGGGAAATTCATACTTCGAGGACTTTAGCCAAAATGCTTCCTTTTGAGGTCTTTAAACAAACACCAAATAGTCGCTCCTTTTGGAGTCTTTTGCAAAAAAAAAACCTTACCTCATTTCGAGAACTTTAAGAGAATAAATATCGCCTCACTTGAGGACTTTAAACATATTGCCCACCTAAAGTAAGGACTCCATGTCATGCATCTCTATTCCTACTTCTCATGGCAAGGAATAGAAAATACAATGCGGAAATTAAACCAGAATCAGAATAATACCAAACGAACACAAAGTTCGTTACAAGCAAGCAAAACAAAGAAACCCGGAAAACTTCGCGAAAGCTTCACCAATCAAAGAGTCAAAAATGAAATGCTCGAAATAAACGTCGAAGCATCATCGATGTGAAAAAAATCACAATCAGAAACTCCGACATATCTGCATAACACACAATAAACTTGCATAAGACACAAATCTCGACAAGCAAAAATGAATCACAAATCTCAAGTAATAGAATAATCATGAATTAATTCCTAAAATCAAATAAAAAAATCTAACAAATTTTATTGATTTTGTAACCTCTTGATCATAGAAAAATTAAAAGGAAAATCGTAAATTTTAAAAAAAAGGCTTTAAACAAAGGAGAGTATCAAATTGATTCCAGGGGTATGGTATAGAAATCAAGCACTAATTGATTCCAGGGGTATGGTATAGAAATTAAGCACTAGGCCCAATCATCAATCGTCCAGAATCAGATTTTTTGCTTGCAAGGTTCTTATTGTGCCAAAGACAAATACATTAATGGGCCTAAGAGCAAATACTCAATCTAATTCCTCTAAATCAACATCAGGTCCAAATCCAAATCTAAACTTAGCATTATGTATTTTATTATAAGAATTTTATTGAATTATTAAAACAAAAAACAAAAAACAAAAAACAAATTAAAAGGGACATAGAATGGAACGTGCGTATGTGGTGAAAAGATAGGGTTAAGACTGACCCTTCAGCTTCATTTAAGAAAATGAGATCTTCTTCCTCGATTAGACTCCGCGGCGGCGAACTCCATCTCAATATCTCTTTTCCGACGAACTCATTTCGTCTTCTCCGCTCTCTCCACAAAATTACCTTCTCCGATTCACTTTATTCATATCTTTTTCACTCTCGACGTTGTTCGTCTCTGTCTCATCTCTAACCTCTCATCCTCTCGGTGATAATCCTACACACAATCAATTCGAAAAACACTGGCAACTCAACACAGAAACAAAAACAAAAGAGAGTGTAATCATGTTTACCTACTGAAATTCATCCGGTGCGTCTTCCATGCCGATATCGACGAGAAATCCAGAGAAACAAATTCAGGTATACATTTCGATTGCTATTCTTCCTCTTCTCACTTCGTTTGTTTATCTCTGCACCTGTTTCTTGCGCGTTTTCGATAGCGAGCGATTGTTGTTTGTTGATTCTTCGCAGTTTGAACGAAGGATGTTTAATATTGTAGATTTGTAACGATGACGACAAATTCCGATGCTACATGAAGATGATGAAGAAGTAGATTGCCGAATCGTGGTTACAAATGGAGAGGATTCAGTTTGAAGGTGAAAGATTGATGGTGCAGTTGGCGATGGAGAAAACTCAAAGAACGCATAGAGAATTTTTGTGATATTTTTCTGATGATTCTTCCGCGAATTGAAGGATGACTCAATTGCAAGGTAATTTTCTATTATATACTCAGCACAAGTTTGTTACGACTGAATTAATTTGAGCCCTTGAATATCGATTTCTCTTATCATCTAAAATCCCTTTGAGAAACCGTGATGGATGAATTCCCCTTTTCGCTGTGAAAAATGAATCTGTTGTAGCGAGTGCTCCTTAAGAAAAGTTTGTTACGGGTCTGTTATGCTGAGCTGGAATATCCCTCCCTCTGTACTGATTTTCTGATTTAATTTTTGTGTACTAATTTTCTGTACTATTTCCTGTCTTTTCTATTTCTGTTTTGTTTTAAAAGTTTCTATTTATCTCGGTTTTGAATTTTCTACTGAACAGTAATTTGTTAGTGAAATTGCTTATGACATAATTCTCCCAGTTTTCTGTACACAGGTCCGCACGGTTGGAGGAGATTTAGGCGAGTTTCATGGCATCTAGAATGTATATATGAGATGAAGATCGGTGCGAAAGATGCAATAGTGTCATATATTCGCAAGACTTATGTTATAGCTCTTTTTTGTGAGTTGAATGGACTATTTTTTTGAATTGGTTTAGACAGCAAGTTTGGTTTTAATTGTAGTTTAGGAACTGGTTTTATCCAAATGAAATGAGCTAAAAAAAGAACTCTGTTCTTGGCAACGAACTGGGCTTTATGGTGCAGGTTTATTGAGGTTTCTTTATTTGTGACATGGCTCGAAACACGACAAAGCTTGGAAATTGAAGTTTGAAAGTTGCAGACACAGAATCATGGAAACAAAAGGTTTGGCATAGCTAAAGATTAGTAGTGATAGGTTTATTGTAGCTCTGTGTAATTTGCAAACTTTTTGTTGTTTCTTGGAAGGTTGGAATTTGGATGTAATGTTTGATTGAATGTATATTTTTACCATTTGAACTTACAATTCTCAAACTCTTTTTGCATTTGTATGAATCTTGAATGTATGGGAATTATTTTGAATCAATTGGATTTTATCCTTTCGGAAATCATGAATGATATCTCAACTGATGAACCTAAATTCCATTTAACTTTCAAAATTCGAATTTATGATCTTCCAATCTTACTTGAATTGAATTCTTGAAAATAAACTAATGTCTAAGATCTTCTTATTGGATTTGATTATTCTCTGATCACCTCACTTCAAAACTCAATGCATGAATTCTGACCAACTTGCATCTTCAAGGAACTTCTAATTTTAAATTCTCAAAATTCAAGGAACTTAAATGATATCTTATAACCTATCTATTAAGTAACCATTGAGGAATAAGACTTTATTGAATATATATATCTCAAACCAAGCGAAAACCCTAGCTCGCATGATTAGTGAACATTCGAACTTTATGATAGTTTATTGAATGTAAATGTATGCTATTGTTAATGATCCAATGCTATCTATCTAGATGGATACAAAGTCTAAGCCTAAACTAGATAAAAGTAAAATCAAGAGGGTAAATTTTGGAGTACAACAGTATTTTCTTAATAAAGCATGTGAACTCATTAACAATCAATATCACATATCCTCTCAATAAGTTTCATCTCTAAAATAAATTGTGAGTTTTACCAAATTGATCCTTAGATGATCTCTCTACCTAACTATCAATTTGATAACTTTAAAAGCTTAATACAAGTGAATATCAGCTCAAAAAACTATGTCTAGAAATTATTTGTTGATAGATGAAAACCTAGATCAAGAGTTGAACATATTTATCAATAATGATCAAATTAAAGATAAACTATAAAACAAAGATTTTTCACCATATATTCATCATCAACTTGTTCATATACAAAATATCAAGCTAAATATACACAAAAGTGAGATTATCTACCACTAACCTTGACACAAAAGAGGGGTTTAGCTATCCATTGTCATGGTAGCTTGATGAATAAGTAAACAACAAATCTTTGTGAACATCAAACTTGAAGTCTCAAAGATTGATGTTGAAAATATTTGATTTTGAGTAAAAATGGAGAAAATTGCTTTTTTTTTCTTCTCTCACACACACCAAGTTTCTAGGTTACAAGAATGAGTGTTATGGAAGATGATGTCCCAAAATATCTAAAAAGTAATATATAAACATGGCATGCCCGCTCACCGTCGTCGTGCTCTCAACAAGCGTCGTCGAGCGACACAACATTATAATCACACGTGACCACAAACAATGCAAGCAACCAACAAAAAATATCCAACATCGCTCAACGACAAGGATGCTTCGACGAGAGACACTTCAATCGTCGGGCGATCTAAGCAGCGGCGCACTCCAAACCCTTATCCAAAAATCACCCTTTCTCCCCAGAACACCGCTTCTGTGTCGTCGGGCGACACAACTCCACTTTGCTACTCCAGCATCGGGCAATGCTCCAAAAAACACTGACGTTGAGCTTATTTGATTCTTCATCTCCGAGCCCACTTCAAGCTGCAACATCTGAATATAAAATGATGAAAAACTAATAAACACATTAAGTCTATCAAGATTATTTACATTGATGCAAGAAGCACTTAAAATAAGTCATTTTCATATTCAAAAGCACACAAAAGAGCTAAAAAGTGTCAATAAATAATATGAAAATTAACCAAAATTTGACACTTAACATTAGGCAAAGGCAACTTACCTTTTTCAATTAGGGTACCTTTTCTCATTTATCGTATTCTCGCATTGACTTTCAATTTCTTTGCCATGAGAAGTAGGAATAGAGATACATGATTGGAAGTCCTACTGTTGTAGGCAATGTTTGATTTGGAAGTCGTACTGTTGTAGGTTATGTTTAATCTGGAAGTCCTACTTTGTAGGCAATATTTTTGTGATTTTTAGTTTTTTTTTCTCTTTTTACTTTGTCCTTGCAATCGAGTCAATAAAGTGGAAGAAGGTCTCACAATCGGTCCCCACATATCAAGTCCCTTGGTTATTCTTAGCTCACGTTCTACGTTGATGCTTTGAATCGTGCTTTTCTCTTGTTATCGAGTCAATAAAATGGAAGGAGGGCTCGCAATAGGCCCCCACATTTTGTCTTTATTTCGATGATACTTAGCTCACGTTTTGTAAACATTGATTCTTTGAGTTTTTACTCGATTTATGATTGAGCTATTCTAGTGGAAGAAGAGTATTTCAACTCCCACACCGAAATCCACCTTGAATTCGTGTTTTCCTAGCTCATGCTTAGTGCTTAGGTGGTCACCTAATAGCATGGGTGTTTGTTGCTTTGATGCTTTCTTGCTTAAGTAAGTATGTTTTAGGTATCTTGGTTAAGTGCTTATTTTGTGAGTAAGTGGTTACTTCTCATGTGTTGTGTGCTTGCTTTCATATCTTGTTTAAGTTATTGATTGCTTGCATTCTTCACTTTCTTTCTCTTCTTGTGTGATCACATGTTCCCCCATAAAATCTTTAGTTCATTCTTGGTCAAGAGTGAACTAAGTGGACCTTATGATTCATATCCATGCATGACAACATTAGGTAGAATTCCCTTGATCCCAAATTTAGGTCCACAAGCATGACAACAAGTATGATTGAGATTCCCCTTTTATTAGTCTTTTCTTTTGCATCCCTTCTAAAAATAAAATTCTTTTTATTAAGCAAACTCATAAAACACTCTAACATTACTTAAAGCCTTTCACAATTAAGAGGAAAGTACTCAGATACCTCCACCTTTTGAGAGATCATTTGATGTATTCTCTCAATAAAAAACTCAACAAATGCAAACCATTTTTTTTCTTTGGACCTTTTAATTTTAAAACCTTTTGATAATAAGGGCGTGTTATTTCCTCTTCGCGCATAAGACACGCAAAGTCCCCAAAGGTAGGGAAACCAATGTTTATTGATAGAGTGTGAATGTAACATTATCCACATAAAAAACACACAACAAACCAACATTTTTTTAGAAGAACTACGATACCCTGATCCTTTATTGCACGAAGGAGTACATAGGCACAAAGGTTCGCAACCGTGGCGGGCGCGGTAATAAAACCTTTTCTTTTTGTATATAATCCTTTTCATCCATGAATTCTCTTTACAACTTAGCTTTAGGTTCAAACTCACTCTTTAGATTAGACAACAAGAGTGAATCCCGTGGAGTACCATGAGCGTGAGGGATGCTAATACCTTCTCATTGTGTAATCGACTCCCTTACCCTTTCTCTTGGTCGCGAGACCTTGATTTCTCCCTTCATGGGTTTTCTTCGATGTTTTACTTTCCCTTCTGTGGGATAAGTAAATATTTAATGACGACTTCATTGTTTTTCCTAGTTGCTTCAGCTGGAGATTTTATTGGGGAAACCTAAGTAAGTTAGTCCTAGCTCTTGTTTGTTTTATTTTCTTTGGGTGTTTGTTTGTTTATTGATTTCTCTCTTCTTATGTATGTATGTGTGCATTCATCTCTAGCTGAAATATTGGTTCTATTATTTTGTACTATTATTGTGCTGTGATATTTCTTTGATGGGAGGGTGTTACTTTGAGGTAAAAGGCCCATTAACCAGGATAGTATACACATAGGTTAAAGTGGATACTTATGTCAAATACCGTGTTCTTTTGACATGTGTGAGGAGGCGTGAGACACCACACATAGACGGGGTCTCCAAACAATGCCTTTGTCTTTCATCCTTTGTGCAAAGATGAGGTGTTTGAATATAGGACTCCCGATGCTGGTTCTCACTAGAATCCCCTATTCTGATTAGAATTTACCTTTGAGGTGGGGTGTGAATTATCCTTACTGGTACAGATGCAGATCTTCATGGTACTTGGTTCTCTTATATTCCAAAATGGTCCGGACCTTTGATCTTGTTACATGTGGTTGTGGTTCTATTATCAACACAACTGTTGTTCAGATAATGGAAGCCTTGATCCTATTTCATTCATGATACATTTTACTAACATCATTTTGACATACATGTTTTCTTATTTCCAAGTTTTTCTAGTCTTTGAGTCTTGTTGTTAGGCCGCCTTTAAAGATGGATACTCAAAAGAAAGACAACCACAAATATCATATCATCTACAAGTTCCCTAGGCCATTTCTTGTTAATCTCCTCCTGTTAGCCAAGAGGTCTCCTCTTGATAATGTTGAAACCTTTAGAAAATATTATGGAAGGATTCCTATGTTTCTAGAGTCACATCTCAATGAATACCAGACGGATGCCCTCCAAGCTCTGTTACAGTTTTATGATCGTACCCTGAGATGCTTCATGTTCCTTGATTATCTGTTAGAGTCGACTTTAGAAGAGTACTCCACCATCTTGGATATTCCTATATTGCACCAAGCACCATTCCATACTTCCATGAAGAAACCTAATGATGCTCAAATTGTTGTCGCCCTTTATTTGGAGGAATATGTTATAAAGGCCAACTTTAAGAAGAAAGGGACTGTACATGGTTATCACTTGAATTTTTTTGTTGAAGAAAGCTAATATCAAGGCTGATGAAAAACATTGGAGGGGTTTCAATATTATCTTAGCTTGTTGCATTTATGGGATGGTCCTATTTCCTAATGAAGTCAAGTTTGTTGATGAGAATGTTGTTTCTATATTCATGCAAAGGAATCCTGTGCCAATTCTCCTAGGAGATGTTTATCATTACATACATACAAGAAGCTATAATGGGAAAGGTGGAGTTGTTCATTATTGTGCTCCGTTGTTGTATTATTGGTTTAAAGGTCATCTTCCTCATCAAGGTTCTTTTGTTGATACTCAACATACTCTGAAATTGGCTCGAAGGTTGATGGGGCTCACCTCCAAAGATATTGACTGGTACAAGCACAATTTATCCAAGACAGAGAGTAGAGAAGTAATCTTCCATTGCAAAGAATTCTCTAATGTTCCTCTCATGGGAATAAGTGGTGGCATTAACTATAACCAAACTCTTTCTCAAAGACAGTTCAGATATGCTTTGAGAGGACTTCCCGAAGAAGA